AAAGACCTCAGAAAGAACTCAGAAAGACCTCAGAAAGACCTCAGAGAGACCTTAGAACGAGCCCAGAAAGACCTCAGAAAGAACTCAGAAAGACCTCAGAAAGACCTCAGAGAGACCTTAGAACGAGCCCAGAAAGACCTCAAATTATTTCTAGATGTTTTATTTTATCCTGATCGTTATTTAATGTGGCGTGAAATAGTGACCTGAGCAGGGTCCACGTCGTTCAGCATCACGATGGAGGTGCAGTGGTAGTCCAGGACCAGGCGCCAGAAGTCCTTCACCGTGTTGGGCAAAGGATGCTGGGTAACGATGAAGGCCGACGGCTGCTTGTAGCTCTGCAAGACGCACACCAAATATGGTCGTTTAGACCAAAGGAAGTGAGCTGCCTCACTGACACCAGGTGGCGCAGTGACGGGAACAACACCTAGATCTAAACCAGTCAGAGCCGGATCCAGCAGGATCCTCTCTGAGGCCTGAACGCTGGTTCAGGATCATGGGAGCTGGGCTCGTGACCCGGCCCACGTCTCACAGTCTACGTACGTCCATGAGCGCGGCGTTGATGTAGTTGGAGCTCTCTCCGTCGATGGTGATGAGGAAGGGCAGGCAGCGGTCCGGCGGCAGGACGTCCATGCAGCGGTTCTTCTCGTGGTTTCTAGGCAACAGGGCGATGCTGCAGTCCTCAACACGCAGGGTGGGCGTCACCATGTTGAGGGTCTGAGGAGCGAGAACACAGAACATCTGGAAGGGATCTATAGATCTGTGATGGTGGCAGGATCTATGCGCTATAGATCTATCTAAGTTTGTTATATATATATATATATATATATATATATATATATATATATATATATATATTTTAATGTTTAATGCTGTTAGCGCACTATGCTAACGCTAACAGTGGCGGCCCCGCCCCGCACCACGCCTCACCCTGAACTCCTCTTTGATCTGGCAGGAGTTGGTCTGGGGGTCCAGTCGGTTCATCTCATAGTAAACGGAGCGCAGCTGATTGGCTGGGACGGCCGTGTTGCCGCAGAGACACGCCTCCAAGATGGCGTCATGTATGAAGACGTACTGCTCCTGTGGAGAGAGGCAGAGTGACTGACGGCACGGCGGTGGCGGCTGAAATGTCACATCATGAGTGATTGATGTCGACACAGAAGAGGGGGGAGGAGGAGAGGGAGGAGGGGTGACATTAACGGTGAGAGGAAGGCCGTGACTTTGTCCTGCTGTCACTTCCTGTCACTTCCTGTCACTTCCTGTCAGCTGGTCTCCATCAGGACCTTTAGAGATCAGAAGCGGAGCAGCCGTAGGGTCGGGGTCACGGCGGGGTCGTTTCCCGTCGGCTGATTGGTTCTGCTGTCGGTAGCGTTCTGTGTGACGGTGCGTACCTCCGTTTGGACCATGTTGACCCGCCGCGCTCTCAGCTCTCTCACACAGTTGTAGATGTCGACCACGCCTTCTCTGTCCGCCATGTCCAGCATGATGTCGATGACGATGAAGCAGCCCGTCCGCCCCGCCCCCGCGCTGCAGAACAAACACACACCTGGGTCAGGTAAGGCAGCGAATCCAACCAACCCCTGGTCAGAGGGGGCAGACCTGCAGTGGACCACGGTGGGGCCGGCGGTGGGCGGAGTCTTGGCCTTGACACAACGGATGAAGCCCAGGAGTCCGGTGGCGTGAAGCGGGACGCCGTGGTCGGGCCAGCCGGTGAAGTGGAACTGACGGATCTCCCTGATCTCGGCCACGCCCCTCTGGAGGAGCAGAGCACAGGTCAGGGTCTGACTGTCCTCCTCCTCCTCCTCCTCCTCCTCCTGGCGGCGCTCACCTTCTCCACTGCGAATGTCCGGATCACGTACTCCGACAGCAGCTGGGTCTCGATCAGCGTCACCTTCATGTCGCCGTAGATCTCGGTGTCATCGGGCCAGTACTTACAGCACTTCACCTGCTCACACACACATTTAACCACATCACACATGCTGATGGAAGCCCCGCCCCCTCACCGCCAATACCCAGCCTGAGTCACCATGACAACCACCCAGGTGTGCGCAGACGGATCAGCTCTGCATCAGAGAGTGATGGGAAACACAGAGACGGGTAATCCGCCTCCTATCTCCCAGAATCCCCCTGTGCGGCGCCACCAGCGAGCCGCGGCAGAGACCAGGTGCATTGTGGGTAATGACTCACCCGGCCCACCTCCACCAGGT